GGGCAGTCTTCAAGAGAGCTCTCTCAGCCCCACCTACCTCGCAGGGTGTCTGTTGTGGGGAGGGGAAGGGAAAGGGGTTTGTAAGATGCTCTGAGACTCTCTTGGGTAGTGAAGGGCGGGGTATAAATCCAATCTCTTCTTCTTCATTTATATCCTGCCCTTCACTACCTGAAGGAGTCTCAGACCGGCTTACAATCTCCTTTCCCTTTCCCTCCACACAACGGTCACCCACTCCTCCTCCACTTGCAGCTGCTGGTGTGACCTTGGGTCAGTCACAAGCTCTCTCAGAGCTCTTCTCTCAAGGGCAGTTCTCAAGAGAGCTCTCAGCCCCACCTACCTCGCAGGGTGTCTGTTGTGGGGAGGGGAAGGGAAAGGGGTTTGTAAGATGCTCTGAGACTCTCTTGGGTAGTGAAGGGCGGGGTATAAATCCAATCTCTTCTTCTTCATTTATACCCTGCCCTTCACTACCTGAAGGAGTCTCAGACCGGCTTACAATCTCCTTTCCCTTCCCCTCCCCACAATGGACACCCTGTGAGGTAGGTGGGGCTGAGAGAGCTCTTTTGAGGACTGCCCTTGTGAGAACAGCTCTGACAGAACTTGTGACTGACCCAAGGTCACACCAGTAGCTGCATGTGGAGGAGGAGCGGGGAATCAAACCCGGTTCTCCCAGATTAGAGTCCGTTCCTCTTAACCACTACACCAAACCAGCAGAAGGCTGTAACTCTGCCTCAGATGGCGCTGTGACTGAATTGGCGGCTCCGGTGAGATCTGGAGCAACTGCTCGGTGGCTTGGCTGCTTCAGTTCCAGAGGGGTTTCCATCGCTTCGCTGTACTGCGGGAGAGGGAAAAGCCAGCTCTCCCACCTGACCAGTGTTCCCTCTAAGCTGAGTTCGTGTGAGCTAGCTCACAGTTTTGTAGCCTCCAGCTCACACATCTTTGTCTTGGCTCAGGAAGGAGGGCTCCAGAGCAAACTAATTTATGCAGCAGCCCAATCACTCGCTCACAACTTTAATGCCAGGAGCTCGCAAAGTAGAATTTTTTGCTCACAAGTCTCCACGGCATAGAGGGAACATTGCACCTGACTTGTGCCTCTTCCTTTCCCCTTCGCGCTGCAGGGAGTTGCGCTGGAGTCCAGGTTCTGGGGTCTCCTGCATAACTTCCCTTCACTCCAGCTTTACCTTCCAGCTGTTGCCAAAGGCAGCCTCAGACAGCGTGAGCTGGCCGGACCGCAGCCGCAGGTCGTCCTGAGGGTAGCTGTTGAAGTTGCCGCAAAGACCACAAGTGCGGCCTTTGTAGGTGCCGGGAACGCTGACCTCTAGGTGGGAGCGGCCGTTCCAGAGCACCTGGGAGAGACAGAGAGGGGGGGAAACAGAAATTACACGTCGATGGGGTCCGAACTGGTGGTAACTGACCAGGAGAGAGATCTTGTAGTCGTAGAAGAAAACTCACTGAAAATGTCGAGGCAGTGTGCGACTGCAGTAAAAAAGGACTAACGCTATGCTGGGGATTATTAGGAAGAGGATTGAAAAAAAAAAATCAGCCAGTATCATACTGCCCTTGTATAAATCAATGGTGCGACCTCATTCGGAGTACTGTGTACAGTTCTGGACACCACACCTCAGAAAAAGAGATGACAGCATTGGGAAAAGTGCAGAAAAGGGGAACTAGAATGATAAAAGGGTTGGAACACTTTCCCTTCGAAGAAAGGTTAAAGCACTTGGGGCTCTTTAGCTTGGAGAAACGACGGCTGAGGGGTGACATGATTGAGGTTTATAAGATAATGCATGGGAAAGAGCAGGTAGAGAAAGAGGTCCTTTTCTTCCTTTCTCACAAGACAAGAACTCGTGGGCACTCCATGAAACTGCAGAGCGGTCGGGTTAGAACGGATAAAAGGAAATCCTTCTTCACCCAAAGAGTGATTAACACATGGAATTCACTGCCACAGGAAGTGGTGGCAGCCACAAGCATGGACGGCTTCAAGAGGGAATTGGATAAACATATGGAGCAGAGGTCCATCAGTGACTCTTAGCCACAAGGTATAGATAGGGACTCCGGGGCAAGTGATGCTCTG